CAAATTCAACATTGAATGTGGCCTTGCAATGGGCACATGTCAATCGTCCTGGGAGGACATCACGGCTCGGAACAAGATCAAGCTTTTCAGGCCGGTCAAACTGGTGAACTGTTCTGAGGTGGGCAGCAACTGCTTTTCTCCCAACCATAACCTGACACAGTGGGCACTTGAAAACTGTCATCGGTTCCGGGATAGGTCCGGTACTTGGCATTCGAAGTACCTGTGCTAGGGATCCAGTGACAGGCGGCTTGAACGGTCGGCCTCGATGGGCATTGGATGAACTGGATGTGGTCACCTGTGGCAAGTCGGTCAAAGCAGGGGAGGTGGGATCCGCATGAGCTTGAGTCAAATGCTGAGCAAGTCCCAAGGCACTAAGAAAACTGACATGACAATAATCACAGCGGTGCAAACAGGTGGAGCTAGTCTTATCATCAGGCTTCGAAATGATCTCTGATTCTGCATTGTGAGGCTTGGGTGGTTTCGGTCGAGTCTCGAGTGCCGGGTGATGAACTCCCGTGGTTTCGGCATCAAAAGCCGCAGTCCACGATCTCTTGAGCGCAGATATCACAGGAAAGTTGGGCGGATGCAATGTGGGACCTGCCAGGGTGGTAAGCTGATACAAAATACCACATGAATGTGTATGAAGCTTCTGGGACGAAATGCGGCACAACGGGCAAATTCCCTTTCCTGAGCCAAGGTTGGCAGCCCAGCGTACTCGATCTTTGAACTGCTGTGCAAACTGAAGCAAATCATGATGCTGCTCACTATAGTGGTTGATGGCAAAATGCACAGTGTTGGGCAAGTTCAGTCATGAGGTTTTGATCGAGGATCAACCCTTGAAAGGATTGATGGCGGAGGTGCATTCTGAGTTCAGCACGCGCTGCAATGGGAGTGATCGTTCCCTTGGTGGCACAGAAAAAAGGACATGAATGTTTGTGGACATGTTCCTTCAAAATGCACATGTTAGCAAAAGATCTACCACAGTGAGCACATGTGTTGGTTCCATTGATTGAGTCCCTGAGGGAATTAAAAATCTCTTCAATTTGATATTCATATTGATGCTGTCTGTTGTTGTCTGAGATGACGTTTGAGGGTGCCTGCCCGGCTAAAAGATCTATGGCACTCTGGGCACTGAAGTGAAGCATCCGGCACGACCGTGTCAGGGCAGGGATCGTCAAATCGGAGACTGGATAGTCTGGGGTCAAAACACAGATGTCCTGGCTCTGGTTGGCCATGGATCCGCTCAAGGAGCAGCGACGTGTGCGGAGGGCCGCTTCAAGACGGGCTTGTGTGTGCTGCAGTGCGACCCAAGGTGCGTCTAGTCCGAGTCTCTAAAAACAATCAGCGGTGGATTCATGAGTGAGATGAATTGGTTCACGAATCATGCGGCGATGATGAGTATTGATGGTGCTGATGAGGTTTTTAAATCCTTGTTTAGTGATCCCCATTTCAAAAATACCGTATTGAAGCGTGGGAAGAATGCATTGGCGATAAAATTTGAATTTCAATTACAAGGGGAGCACCGGGTCTGTGAGCCATCGTCTCAGGACATGGAAGCAATGTTGCGCCGCTGCAAGTCGACGTTTAGTCGTATCATTTTCCCATGTCCTATAGCTTAAAATCATTCCGAGGTAGCTTCCAATCATGGTCAGGCAGTCTCAAGCGAGGTCCGTCAGTGGTGCGGGTGATCCACTGACGCAGGAACGTCGGGGCTGCACGACCAACCACTCTGCAAAGCGCAACATTCTTCTGAACATTTATCCGCAATCCATACGATTGCGTGAGAGTGAGGACAAACGAAAGTTCACTCAAAGCAAGAAGGCCTTCAGCCTGCGTAGAAAAAGTCCAGCGGAGGTGAAAATCGTCAACGTATACTATGAGGTGGTCACGCAATCAGGTGATGGAGTATCTAGTCAGCAAATCAACCAACAGCAGGTGCATACAAAGAGACCATAGCAGCGGCGCTGCCTTCGATCCTTGTTGAATGCCCCTATTGGCAGTCAGGGATCCGACCAACTCTTTAAAAGGAATGTAGTAGTTGTTGGGAGCCAACCACGTGTGCAACATGTGAAGCAACTCAGGTGGGAGGTCTAAGATGGTCAAAGCCCTGACAACAATCGTCCGGCTAATCGTGTCAAATGCCTTTTCCATATCTATCGAAACCTGGAAGCCACCAAGGAGACTATTTTTGTCCAAGTTCAGGCCAGTGGTCTGACATGCCTCGCGAACCTGTCGGCAGTGCTGTGATGCAAGAAGTAATTAATCTGCTGTATTGCGACCAGGCATGTAGGCATAGAAAGGGAGGGTCCTAAATTTCGGGAAAGCAATCTCGAGGACCTTCTGAATCAAAATGCCGGATACTACCTTATTGACAGGGTGTTGCAGGCATATCGGTCGAAGCGCACTGGGCTTATTACAGGCCTTGCCCGGTTTGGCTAGCAGGTGTAGCCATCCAGCTAACCAATGCTCCGGAGGCAATGCGTCTGGGGAGTTCCACGTATTCTCAATCGAGCTGTAGATCAATGGCCCAAGTGCAGGGGCGAATTCTTTCCAAACAATGGCCGGAATTCCGTCTGGAGCCAGAACTTTGGTCATGGGCAGTCTACTCAGTCCAGCTATCAGTTCGTCAACAATGAAAGGAACCTGCAATGCTGGTCGAGGAGGTGGCTCGAATGCAGAGTCAGTGAACAGGTCTGTAAAGTATTGAACTATCTGGTGGAGCTCAAGCCTGGTGGACAGCGGGTGACCATGGTCATCATACATCTGGATTTTACGAAATCGCTGTTTGGGACTAATTTGACGGATGCGACGGTGCCATTCGAATGCTTTATATTTAAGTGCCAGATCAACACGTTTGCAGATCACCTACTGTGGGCAGGCATGGTTGACGACGAGCCTCCCGCGCCCCGCGCGCCTCCGACGCGAGACGCGGCCACGCAAACGGACGAGGTGCTCCTTTTCCCACAGATCTTGCCAGACGCGCACCTGGCAATCCTACAAAGCCGCCGCCGTCCCGTCCTCCCTACGCGGCTGCTCGTCCAAGTGTGGGCGTTCCTCGGATATTTGCTGCAATTGTGCATGCGGCCGCAGCGCACGCAGCTCCGCGCGCAGCTACGACAATTTCAAGAAGTGCTACGGGCGCAGCTGCAGCGCCATCGTCTGCATTATACCGCAGCGCTCGCAGTCTACGGCATGCAGCTATGAGCGTAGTCGCGCCTTGTCCGCAAACTCATGGGGCCGTTTCGTCCGAAGTTCGTCCTCGCGGCTTTCTATGCGAACCTCGTCCCGAATTAGGTGAAACGAAGTCGCTTGTTATATCGACTAACCTATTTGATTTGTTTATGCAAAACAATATATCGACAAACGGCAGTCCAACACCTGAAGACGGCGAGCACGGTGCTTCCACGATCGGAGCAGCAATGGAAGGAAGGGTGCCATGCTAGGCTTGGAGTTTTGGATGTCGTGGAAAATAGACTAAATCCAAAGCACGAAGATGCTGTTCAAGGGGATGGGTATTGGAATGTTGACATGTCTAAATCGCTTGAGTGACATCCTGTCGAAATGCAAGCCATTGAGATGTTTGCTGAATACAGGCCTGACGAAGATAATACCGGCTAATCGGGTCAGGGGTCTGTCGGTTAACCTTGGAAAGGTACCATTTAGGGACACAAAGATCAATCGGCTTATAATGAGGACCGGAAATCCCAAAATTTCTATCAAAATCAGGATCAACGTACGAATGCATATTTCTCCGGCGCTAAGTTCGACGAAAGAAGATAAAATCTATTCGAGTGGCATGGTCACCATGTATAAATCTTAGTGTCCAAGGTCCAAAGAATAGCAAAGCAATCAGCTAGAATTCCTAAATCATCTGCTAAAACACATATTTATCTATCTACGCCGTTTTAAGAAATTTCGGCTCATAAAAATTAACGAATGGGGAATATTTCTATAATAATAAATTAAAATCACAAAGAAAAAAATCGGAATGTGTTACATGCAATGTTAAACCCTCTTCCAAATCTAAATTCGTCGTTAATAAAGTGCCTAAGTTCCACGATCCGAATTCCAATTATATTAGCAGACTACAATCAAGTCATAAGTTTGGGGTAAATAAAATCTCACCTGCAACAAGCGTCCAAAAATATAAACCGCGATAGACACCCATATGTATAAAACAAAAAAAATTCTCAACATAATTAATAACGATGCATGCTTATTCCAATTATACACAAAATGCCAATTTTAAATAAATCCTTTATTATTAAAATACCAATCCGTTTCTTACCCAATCAAACCGATTCTAACTAAACTTAAAACTTCTAATACAACAACTTCTTAATACGTTCCAGCTCAAAATATACATATAAAATAAATCTATTATCTAAAATAATAAAATTATTTAAGCTCGTAATTGGTTTTATTTAATATATATTATCCATATATATCGAAATCTCCAAGAAATATCATAAAGATTTTTTATATAACCCTTATAATAAATTGTTACTTAATTAAAATTACAATAATATTCTCGGACATATACTTTTTTAATACGATTTAAACTATATTAAACCGAAATCCGCAAAAGTCCAAGCCTCGTATTACTTTACGACGAATATATAAATTAAACGAAAATTTATGCCGTTCCCAATCTCCTCCAAAATAAAAAAATTAATCCTCGCGCCCAGTACTACGAACTAAAACCAAGGTTCAAGAAGAACAATATTATCCGGACTTAAGACCGGATTCTCCAACAAATAAAAAACAAGAAAAGCAAGACCAATCCCAAAAATATACATATAAAATAGCCAAGAAAGGTCAACGAAAAACGAAATAGCAAGATTCCCGGACTACCCGCGGCCGTCTAAGCTAGAGTGGCGCTTCAAAAATATATTAATTCAATAAATATTTTAAAATAGATACAATAATTTAGAAAAAATACACAAAACACATCGGATAGTAGCAAACATATTGCAACTATATGTAATTGTGTCATTTTGATTTAATCCCCTCCAGAAGATAAGTCGTCCTCAAATTGAACAAATTCAAATAATATGTTCATTCAATTCAAGCACAAAGTCGCAAAGCAGCGGTTCCTCTTGGATTTGTTCTCTGAGAAGAGGTAGTTGCGAATCCAATCGCATCCTTTGTCTAGGTCCTGGCTCCTGTTGGGGCGAATCGTCGAATCCATTCCCAGAACACCAAATCCATGGTTGAGAAGGCAAGAACAACTGGTAAAGGTTTACCAACACATACTAACATGAAACAAGTACATACCTCGTACCCATCATGTCTCCTATCCATTCTCTACAGCATTTCGCAGCTCCCCTCCCAACGTGGCTCATGGGGTCACCGAGTCCAATCGCGCTAGGGCGCGCGCGATGCGATGTTTAAACCACATCTCTGCCCTATGCTGAGTGCCCCATGTCTCCCTCGAACCGTCCGAAGCAAACGGCGCGCTTTCACCTACAAATGAACCAACAGAGGTTGAAGGACTCTACAGCCTATCCCAGTTTGGTACCCCCAGGTGATGGTCCTATTGAATTTGTCACAGAAAAAAAACGTCTCTTCGCTTAACCTCTCTTGGAACCTTCCCCATTCGACACCTTCACCGCCTTCGTTCGCCTTCGTTCGCCTTCGTTCGCCCCGTGGTTCGGTTCCCGGGCCCGGCAGTCGGACAAGCGAGCAATCTCATCGCACATCCCCAGGCGATTGGACCTCACGAGGCGCGTGCCGCCGCGTCCAAAGCGGTCGCGGGGAGCGGTCAAGGGAACGAGCGTCGCGGAACGCCACGGGAACGGGAACGAGTGAGGTCGTGCTTTGGAGCAACGAAGGTGGCCAGGATGCATGGCATTACCTGGCCTATTCCAGAAGCGTCTCGACATGGTGGTGAAGGGCCTGGCTCGGTGTGGCACGAAATGGACGAATGCTGCCCAAGTGCGATCCTCTTTCATTGCCTGTCTCGATGTCATCTATGTTTGCTTCCAAGGAGTCTGCTCTAGCGAAAGACTGCATTGCCACCACCCTGCTGGCACGATGACGGTCTCACCTGGCCTGCAGCCATACATGTAGAAGCAGTCGAAAACTGTGAACATGACAACATCCAACATTCATCTTGAGGATCAAACTCCAGCATGACGACGTGAGCACGACATTCTGCGAATCTGCAGCGCACACAGCACTGATTACACCGTGTGTCGGGGTTGTGGAAGTCGAAAGTGGTTAGTCAGTTAGTCCATTTAGATTCATTTGGCCTGCTGTGCTTCTGGGCAGGAGAAAAAATGTCCACTGCACCTGAGTGGTGCAAAGCCACACCTCTGAAATAGCCAGCAAATGGACCGAATCACGAAATCTTAGTCTGCAAGCGTAAGGAATCAAATGTAAATACAGTATTAAGGGTTGCCTCTCAAAACGGCTTGTAATGTGGGACAAGGACACCAAGTCGTTTCATGCCTATGGAACAGGACAATTGTTTCATCCTACATCTCTAACCGCCTGAAACGGTATGAAATTGTCGAAACACCGTCTGGCAACTGGGCTTTAAGCGATGACAAGTCCTTGTTTCAATTATCTGAAAACTTGGATTGCATTGAAGGACTACCCGCGGCAAGCTTGAAGCAAAAGCTGCTTTCTTGTCAAAGACTCAGAAACAAAAAGGATGAGAACCAGTGACCAGTGCTTCGCTTGCATACACCCCCCTTTTGCGCCCAAGTGCGAAAGCTGACAACTTAGATCCGGACTTATCCATTCCCGCATGTCTCTCCCTGATGCCTCAAGTTGTCCAATCTTCCACAAGATCTCCGTGGATCAAGCAATCTGGTCATCTGGTCATCTGGTCTTGCCCCAGGTTTCGCGGGTGTCTGTGCTCGTGGCGGAAGCCTCCGTGCGGTGTCCATACAGTCTCTCGGAGTCCTGTCAGGCTGCTGATTGAGTCGCTCAGACTGCTCTCCCAATTGAATCGCGATTAAGAAGGACATGCCTGGCTCAGGCATGCTCAGGCTACTGATGTAGAGAGTTGACTTGCCCCTTGGGGGTCTTGAAAATGCTTGGCAATGGTTCCGGAATGTTCCAGAGGTCCTGCGGTGGAAACATCACGAACATCCGACGCCCTTGGATCTGGGCATGCCACACATGCGCCTTGATTCAGCACCGAATGCAAGCAAAACACACATAGAACAATTGTAAAACAAAGGATCTCGCTGAGCAATTCTCCACGTGGAGTCTTGTCAACATGCCAGGCCTTGATGCACCAGTCAGAAGCGGCAGTTACTTGAATGCTTTAATGCACTGAGACTCTGACGGGCCGAACTGAAGCGAATCCTGCCACCGTACTCCGCGCGTCGTCACAGCGACGGCTTACGGCTCGCCGGATGGGGGCGATGCGTCGCTTTCGTCGGTGTGTTCAGCGGGGGTCCTGCTGCGCCAGCTCCGGAACCGTATTGAGCCCAACCTACGCAGAGTAGCTGTTCGTCTTGGTTAACGATGCACTAAAAAGAAACTGAGTGCTCGACGGCCAGGCAGCAATGATCGAACCATTTTGCAGAATGATCCTGCGGCTTGACTAGAGAGTTGTGATGCTGCAGGATCACTAAGTTCGCTGAGCACCAAGTGGCAACATTGAAACCAGTTACTAATTCAGTTAGAAGTTCCTTGAGCCCAGGTGGATTCCAGAGCTTTCTTCGAGCATTCAGGTCCTGGCCAATACACGCGCGTGTAGACACACGCAACGAACAACCAACACATGACTGAACAAAGCAAGCACCGTGAAACACCGTGAAGCCCGTTGTCGTTCTCGGTCCTGCTCAAAAAGGCGCCGGGCCTTCGGAATGGACTCGAAAGGATGCCTGCCATGAGCCGTGGAGAGAATTCCGAGGGTGGCAGGTCACGGATCCGAACTGGATGAGTTTGAAGTGCCAACCCGATCAATCACATCAGGCAAACAGAGGTAAACAGCATACAGTATACATAATCACATGATATCTAGGTCTCCATTTTGGTTTGATCACGGTTTTGCTTCAGACCCCGAGTTGGTCCAGTCCTCCCCAAAGTCCGCCCAGCCATGGAAATCGGAGGTCAGAAATGGTCAGAAGACATGAGAGATCCCATGATGAAGACCCATGGTCCGTTTTCGTTGGTTCCGAGTGACGAGGTCCCGTCCCTCTCCATGTTTCGAAGGATACGGAACACACCAGGACTGAAAATGAAGCATGAGGACTGGGACTGAAAGCCTGTTTCATTTGAAGAAAGGCTGGTGAAACTTGGGGAAACACATCTTCGGTAAACATTGAAGTGGTACCAACTGGCCAAGTATCGTGGGTATGCAAGGTAATGGTCCTGAAGCACGGATGCAACGTCCACATTGGTGTCCATTCAAACTCTACGTCAAAATGTCTCCTCAGAGCATTGCGGGTCCATATCTTGCAGAATGTTGATGTACTTGCCCAATTCATCTACTCTTGCCTGGCACGGTGATTAGTGATTCGCCCATCTGCAAGTTCAGGTATCCAAGAAAACTATCAAAGCTTCTTCGTTCAAACAAAAGCATGCACGCTCCACACGCACTGGAAGCTGGCAAGGATCCGAACTTGAGGTGCCTTAATTGAGCTTGCACATGTGATGAGCACTTTGCACCTAATAACCCTGCAAATCAATAACATCAATTGACTGAAGAACTGAAGAAACTCTCTACAAACAAATGTTATCACACTCGGGTCCCACACTTGGTGGGTACTGCCTGAAGCAATCGCAAGCGGCCTTGCACATTTCCAAAGAATAGGACGTTGATGACGTTACTTGAGACACGCAGCAGCAACAAGAACGCAGTCAAAGCCAGGAGTCAAAGTGGCATCTAAAGTGACTCAAGCTTCCTGGATCTTGGCATTTCTGCCTCACCTCGCCACACTCATAGCTCCAAAATGCCATGCCCCAGCTCCTGACGATTGAATCTCAAAAAAAGGAATCTCAGAAAACGTAGAAGTGGATCGTCCAGGCATTCCTTGTTTGATCCATACCATATAAACGGGCACGAAAACCATGCAGACCTCATCTTCCACCCGCGCTGCTTCTCAACACCTGAAGCACATGTCGCCATAAACAGCTCTCCTCGCCATGGCTTCCCCAATCTTTTCACCAGATTTCACCAACGAACCCTTTTGGGATCATCCATTTGGCGCTCGCCATCTCGGCCAAGCCACACCAAATCACACGCCCAAAGAACCAACCCCTCCTCAAAAGCTCCGCCAAGGGAGCCCCAAACCAACCGGATCGCCGGACCGAACGCCACACCGAACGCCAGGCGCCACCCGAGGCCACGGACAAATGGGTGCTTTCAGATCGTCCGCACGTCGCACGCGGGGCACCGGCAAGACCTGGCGGGGAAAGCCGGTGGAACCAAGGGACCCTGACGGAGTCGGGAAACCCACGCACCTCGGCCACAGGTAGTTGACCTGGTGAGACAGGTGGCGAAAAAACCAGAGAAGAAACACCAGATGCTCCCATAGAGGGAGCCATCTTCCATGGATACATGGCTCCCATAGGATGGATTCCATAGCTTCATGGGTCAAAAAAACAGGTTGTAGCTACCTGACATGTATCCAGTTCTCTTGATCTGGTCCCAAGAGTCCGTCCTACTTCGCTGAGTGACAAAGCTCGCCGATGGTGAGAAGGTGTCTCTGGAACGAGCTATAGGTGGATGGTGCTTTGACCACCTTGTCTGCAGCAAGCTGCATGCGGAGCTCCTTAGCATTTGTAAGGGCTACTTTTGCAAGGCCAACAGGAAAACCTAAGTGTTCACCATAAAGAACAGTGCTCGTTGCACCCGAACTGGCGCAACACGAGCAGGCTTTTGGACGTGTAGCAACACAAACATGACTGCAGTTGAGGAATGCGCAAATCTTCTGACCAAGCATCTGCTAGCAAAGGGCTGGCACGGCTTGTGTGCTGCATCTCCTTGGCGATATCCTCCTCCGTGACTGGCCGCAGTTCTGATCGGGGCTTCAGAGCCCCATCGGTGCCTGGGACGTGTAGCACAACCGGTGTGTTGCAGCTAAGAGCTACTAGTAACCTTCAACAATGTTCAAATCCATTTCGTCTCAACAAGGTGTTGTGATGTTGTGTGTGATGTTAGGAAAAACACCTGCACAAAGGCTGTTTGCTACTCTAAGGCTGAGACCAAAATAGAGATAGAAGTCTTGCGTGGTCCACCTCTTGGATTCGGGTGGTGGGCTGGGCGCTCTGCTCTTGGCAAATCTTGACCGCAAGCTTTTCAGAAAGTCCTTGCTAGGAGCTCGGCCATCACGAGTTCCCAACACTCTGGTGGGTACAGCTGTTGAAGGTATGGTGGGCATTGACCGTGCTTCTTCCAGCAATCTCGAAGCAGGCCTGTCATCTGACCATGCAGAAAGCAAGGCTAAGAAGCCAACATCCTTGTCACTTGTTGTCTCCTTCACTAGTTCCTTTGAGTCAACCACAGACACTGCTGGACAGGGATTCTGACCTGGTTCTGCATCTAGTGGCAGCTCTTGCAGCGGTGATCTGCCACATTTTACATCCTTCTCCTCACCAATTGCTTCATGTACGTCTTGTTCTTCCACCAGTTGATTTTCTTCATCACTGGCCTCAGAAATGCTAGGTATTGCCGGCTCCCCTACAGGAATGCCAACTGCTGGGCCCAGTTCAGTCTCAATGTCTTCGACATCTCCTTCAGCAGCTGCCACATGAACAGCCGTTGCCCACACGCTCAGCAAGCCATGTACTTGATGCCCAGTGTTGGGCCTGATTTCGCTTGACTCTTCAGTTGCCCCAGCCGGCTCAGCCGGCTCTGAAATCGCACGGATGCTGCTGCCGCAAGCCCATGAGTACGCTTGCAAATCCATGTTGAATTTCTAGAAACGCGTTTTCTGAGTGCACCTAGCTTGAGTTAGGTCCAACTCAAGTCGGCCTCAAATTGCAAGTCAATGTTTGGCAAACATGATCCTAACTCTTTGATTTCTGCTATTTACTCCAGCTTGACTAAGGATCAATGTTTCCATGGCAGCCATGGGAGGGACAATCATTTGCGCATGTATCAGAATAGGGAGACCCCCAAACCAATTGGTTTTTGGTCTAGTCTTCTCTACTCCTTCCAAATGGTCTTTGGGGTTCTCGCTACTTTCACACCCCCATTTCGCACATGCATATCGAAAGATTGCACCGGCAGAAGCTTAAAGAGCAAAAGGGCTCGTTGAACACTTAAGTTCAGCACAAAAAACAATCAGTTTGGAACAGTTGCTTATGTTTCATGCACTTCGAACATACAACTGGATCAAAACAGCCTCAAAGGTGCTGCTCTGAGGCCCGTGAGGAGAATGATTTGAACAGCTATACACTGCACACCCTAAACAACTGCACATAGCACCAGCTGGAGGAGAGTTGGCAATTCCAGGTGCACCATATGAGGACATCGACATGGAGATGCACAAGTTCGCCCGATGAAGCTGTTGTATAGTGTCAAGAAGGTTCTTCAACGACCTCAAGTGGTCAAGACCGACCAGAGGCCAAGCGACTTCTCCGAGCCGGCATGCCTGCAAAGGTTGTAGAGCTGGCATCCGAGGCCGTGGCTTCATGCAGCATATGTCGGAAGTACTCTCGACTTCCTGTGAGACTGAGGTCAAAGGTGAGTCTTGCTGTTCATATTGAAGATGAGGTAGAGCTGGACGTTTTCTATCTCTGGAGCAAGACTTTTGTGCTGATGGTCGATGTGGCAACACACTACAAGGTGGCCTATGAGACAACGTCTAGAGAGGCCTCCGACATCATACAGGGCATGTTTACGAATTGGATCAGGTTCGTTGGACCGATGCGTGCGCTCACTAGTGACCAGGAGACCTCCATCATGAAGCCACACACAAACACAGAAATTGAACATCTGGACGTCTGGGCATCACTCGGAATCCAAAAGACACCACAAGTGAAACAGCAGGTTCTCAGCATACAGGCATTGGCATCATCGAGAGACATGTCAGCCTCACCAAGCTCACCATGCAAAAGATCAAGGCTGAGATCGAACGACAAGGACTCTCCTGTGAAGATCAACAAGTTGCAATGGAAACACTAGAACACAACCAGTGTATATCGTCCTATTTTGGTGCCGAGTCATTCCTGCGTGTCAACAGCTGCAAAGCTTCAAAAGGCAATGCCCTGGTTGAATTTTAGACTTGCGCGGCAGCCTCAACAACAAACAGGAGCAAACTCGGTGTTGCCATCGTGTCTTAATGGGGAAATCGAATGTCAACAAAACTGGTGCGGCTAA